AAGTTGACTGATGCAGTAAGCGTGGGGTTTTCTTCTGCCCAGTACCTGAAATTCTGCTTATTAACATCCTCACTCAGAAGAAAATGGGCTTTATTTGATGTTATCAAGTATGGAAGAAATTGCAGGAGTATATCCATCATTTCCAAGAGCTTTGTGCGAAAGCCCATTTGCATATTTAAATCATGATGCTGTAATTCTTGTACTATTTTAATTTTGAATTGATGAAAGGGCAAATCCATGTGTAACATTCTCCTAGCATTCCTATCTGACATGCCTAGTGCTACAGAATGTCGTATAGGAGAGCACTGTGGACTCTGCTGTAGGGTCATTCGCACCCTCTTCACATTTTCTGGGGTTGTTCACTGATCGTAGATGGCCTGGATTCTTCTTTGGCAAGGCAGAAGCAGTTTACCTAAACTGACTTACCCAATTTAAAATAGTTTGAAGCTTACCATTTCTTCATATATAAAATGCTTACTAAATTCACATTGTGTGTGAGTAGCTGAATCATTATTTTTAAAAACCTCTCCACAGGAAATTCATGTGCTCAAATGACCAATGCACCATGGTGACTAATAACAACTAATAGGAAATGAACCAGCTTTGAACTGCCCCCGATACAGCCATAACAATCAGCATGCTCTCTACCAGCATATGCATTTGACGCCAATTTCAAATTGTCTATCTGAAGATGGAGGCGATACGTTCCGCCGAAACGTCGGCCAAAACGAAGAATACACGGCGCCAAAACCCAGAAGACGACTTTCTTCGTAGTTATCGCCGTGAAAACCTCAAAACTTACATGTCTAATCAATTCTTTCACACACAATGCGTAAACTACACCTTAATTCTGTAGATAAGGGGAAGCTTTCATGACTCATTGCTGAGGGAATGGAAGTTAGTCATCCTTCTGATGCTAGGAATAATATGGGTACTCTGTTACTTGTAGCTGAGGTTTCGGGAATACAGTCATCCACCTGCCACTGTGAAGTTAATGGAAACCACTGGCTAGTATAAAGATATTTTGCATGAAGCATATTGCTAGTCTCTTTTATGTGCCATGGAATGAACCCAAAACCACTGGCAACTGGTGTCCCCAAGTGGTCATCCACCTAAGTGCTCACCAGGCATAACTTTGTGTAACTCTCTCTCTAAACTCTGGTTTGAGCGACCTGGGTGAGTGACTGCTTGGGAACATGGAACATCGATTGCTGGTGATTTTTTTGTTCATTCCATGGCCCTTAAAAGGACTAGTTGCACAAATCTTCTAGTCCACTGTCCCTGTTTGCCAAGATGAGACAGTAAATGACTTAAATTATGTAAAATAAAGAATTAATATTTTACTAATGGAATTTCATTGCCATGTAACAAAGAGATAACTCTACCCTGGCAGTAAGGACATCAGTAACTTCCAACTAAAAATGTACTGTAAAGAATACTGCAGGATCCATAGCAATATTATTAATAAACCATTTAAATTGTGGTGTATTGACTAGTTCCATATCCTGGACAGAATCCATGGAATGCACCATATCTGTCTCTTGATATATGTACCTATCTCTCTCTCTAATACGGATACCATGATTATTCATTTACAATCTCTGATGCTGCATAACCTCTGCAGGTTACATGTTTAAATCAAAACGGGTAGCAGCATCCATGCAAAATTACATTTTCAGCTTCTTCATGAAAGATTTTTTGTATACAAAAAGTAAAACACACATCCCTCCAATCCAACACAAACCTATTACAATTATATGTGATCCTGGCCAATAATATGATCATGAGCATCATGAGGGTCTTCATATTAACATTAGGGGAAGTGAAGGAAGGTCTGATGGAGCGTGACAGTGAATATTTAATTATGTTTTACAAGTATAAGTTATATAATTAATATGTACACATGCATGGCTACCAGGATGCTGGGCTAACTTTGGCTCCGCTCGGCGAGCAAGGCCCACAATAGTAATAACGGATCTTCTGCAATTAAATTATAATCCACGGAACAAAAGAAAAAAAAACATAGCTTTTAAAGGTTTGTTAAAAATTTTTATATTTGCACATGATGCAAATTCCTGTATCTTAAGAAGACAGCAAGAGCTCCACAGGGCAAATGCTTGACAAGCCTGTCCTAGCATTCCACTAGATTCCTAAACCTAAAATATCTCCTTCAGAATTACTCAAATCTAATGATATCCATGGACAAGGGTAAGTACAGGCCTATTATTTCTTCTTCAAAATCATCTACTTTCTTCAGTCTGATGAAATGGAATGAATGGCTCAGTTTCGTGACAGTCCCACTGATGTCTATTCCTGTTGAAGGATATGGCCTTTGAAACTCTGACCAAGGCCAATTGACCTATAAACAGCAGTACTATTTTCTCCTGCAAGATTCATCTACTGTACATTAATATGCAAAAGTCTGCTGCCACTACTACTACCAGTGCTACTACCACCCACTATTACTATTAGAGTCTTGTTTCTTTAGCTTCCTCAGATACAGTGGTAAATTATACCAAATACTACATATTACATTATTTGATTTTAAATAGGCAGCACCCATTTTTCAATCAGTGAAACTGTAAAATTGAAGGCTACTTCCATTCAATGATGTAGCTGAGAGCATTTCATTCTCTCCTGTACACTGTGTGTGCCAAGAATTTCATACTTCTTTTTTCTGAAACCTAATATACTACCCTGCCAGTTGTACAGTGAAGCCTACACAGATCAGTTATGAAACATGAAATAAAGAAAGAAATAACAGAAAGTCTGCTGCAGTTCTATAAACATGGTAGGTTTCATAAATTTAAGAAACACAAGATTTAGTGTCTTAAAATTTCATCCACTAATTCTGTGTAATATCTTATATCATAAATGGAAAGTGAGAAAACATTAAATTTCTCTTGATCAAGCTATTGCAGGAAATACAACTTTCTGTGTTCTTAATTACACTGTTAATGTTCTAAAGTGGCTATAGACATCTATAGCTACAAGGTTTCTACAAGGTGGATTCACCTCAAATAATTTTTATTTTTATAGAAAATTAATTGGTTCCTTTAATGCTACTCAGACTTAGTAGATATTGTGTATATGAAACATGCTTCACTGACATGGTGATGACCGATTGAAGATCAAAACTTTTAGTGGCATAAGACTATCACAAAGATATATTGTCTGTGTGATGGATAATAAAATTAGGATTTGAATTTCTCAGAGCAGTGGTTATGAAGTGTTCTGTCTTCTGGTACATAATTCCCTGCAGCCCACTGAAAGTCAGCTAGTGTTTTGGAGGACATCTTACCTCCATCTTAGGGGTTAAAGAATAAGCCAAGCAAGAAAACTGTGTAGAGCAGGTAGCAGGCAGCAACATGTTCCTCTGAAACATCAGTTCAATTTCCATGGACTATATGGTATTACATCCCAGAAGACAGAACTTGATACTAAAAGTAGTTTACTTCTGCTGTTGCCTCAACAGTGTGTGGCTTTTGTTTATAATAATAATAATTCACAAGTGAATCCTAATAAATCATGTATTTAATTGCAGTTTTTAGTACAGTAGTATCCTTAATATTGTGGATTATTCATGATACTACAACGGTTAGCTCTTAAGCATCTCCAGATAAAATTAATTGCAAATAGCTACAAAATAGGGGTGAGAATGAAAGAGAACAAAATTATAAAGAAAATTATATTTTTATTGAAAATTTTATATCATTATTTTCAGGCTCCATATGTCGCTGGCTAAGCGCACAACTCAACACAACATATGATGGATCTATACTGAATCCGAACATTTATAATTAAGTGGGTTACTTTTTATTATTCTTTAACTACTTATGTACCTGGGGGGTGAGGTTATAATGGAAAAGCAAAGTCTGCTTTAAAACTTTATTATAGCCACATTCTTTGATTGGATTCTTGATCTGTGTATTCTTGTAGCCTATGGAATATACTGTTATGCAGTCCTATCAAAATTCATGATATGCATTTATGTTTGGTCAGTTATATTTAATGAACAAAGGTACACTTTTGTCCAAGATCAATCAACATAATGATATGGATCATTGTTAAAATAATAAGTATGGTGAGGACACTAATGAACAATAATAATACATATTTCTCAGTTTCAGAAATATGAACATTTAAATTTTTATACAAAAAGACACACTGTCTAAAAAATCTAGAGCTTAATAACCCCTGAAGTTAAGAAAATATTCTAAAAATTCTTTACTAAAATAAGGATCACATTATAACAAACATTTCCTCATTATATGACTTTCCCAGAATTAATAGTTCAGCAGAGAAGTATTTTCATTTCATGAAATGTAACTTTGAAAAACAAGATTAAAAAATTTTGTATGCATTTCTTCATAAGTTTTGTTACCATGTGTCCCCAATATCATTAGCACTTTTCATTATCATAAGCATTGTCATCATCCTTCTTTCTCCTCTTACCTCTATTCATTTTTTTGTGCTTGTTGAGCTTTCATTATCCTCTGGGGGTCTGTGCCACTGATGATCCTGACTGAATACACATGGTTCTAAACCAGTTCTCCTGAGGTCTTATGTCCCTAATTTCTTCACAGAAGCAGCCACACACACACAATTTTTATGTCACAAAATACTGTTTTAGGTCAATGATGCCAAATCATGTTATTGAGACTTTAATTATTAATTATTATTATGCAGACACTTCTTCAACAGATAGACTTGAAAGGATTCTGACGATGGTGTGTACTGCACTTCTTTTGGCTTATTTTGGACTTCATCACTGGACCAGTGATGTAGGTAGGTTTATCCTTCCCTACCCACCTGAAGATGGAGACAGATCCAGTCTCCAAAACGTCGTGGTCTTTTGTCTTTTACATACCAGACGATGGATGAAGTCCAAAATAAGCCAAAAGAAGTACTTCTTCAACAGTTCTGATTCAGCAGGTTCTCAAAAGTGGATTGAATGGTTTTCATTATGATCAGTAATTCTTACTGTCTCTATTGTACCTACATCATGTATGTTCATCTTTAGGGTATAGGTTGTACCATGTTCTTTCATCTGTGGATAGTCTACGAAAATAAACAGCCCAAACTGCAGCCATCATTGCACTTAAACTTTCAGCATTGTCTTATTGCTTTGGTACAGGATGCTTGCCCTTTCTCACTGAAACTCTTGCCATCTTCCACGAAGATACCTTTCTTGTCCTTTACAAATTACCTCCAATTCTTTTTGGGATATGTCCAATACACTCCAGTTTACTGACATCGCAGTTCCAAAGGGCTTACTTTCCACTACAGAAGAACAAGACCACGTATCACCACCTCCTAGGACTTTGGTGTACCATACCACAATCAGCTTGTTAGCTAGCAAACATTTTTCACCTCTTCTTCAGGTTTGCTGTCACTATTTGATCCAGAATATTCTAATTATAGGAATGTTTATGATTTTCTCTTCCCCCTTCTCACCGGTGGGATCTTATAATTTCTTCCTGACTGAACACTTATGATAGTATTTAGATATTATCTGCTTCCCCATGTCCATGCCTCTTACTGATGTGAGACCATACAGTGTGTCCCCCAGCTTCATCCATGTACCATCCACACATATACATTCATTGGTGTAGCTTCTGCCTCATCTTCTTAAATTTCTTGCTCAGAAGACTGCACTCTTTCCTTGCACATCTGCTTCAGGATGTTCAAAAAATATGAATCTGCCTTGTCAAGTCTCAAGTCTCATGATAAGTGGAGGTAAATTTATGATCCCACGGAAAATGTTTGCTCCTTCTGTCCACTTTCCTAGACACCACATATTGGATGCAAGTCCTAGATTACTGTCAGTCACACGAACATTAGATGAGATAAATGGATAACTGTGTCCATAGAATTTAGACATAATTTTCAGTATGGTAGCAATGACTACTCCATAGTCTTATATCTGTCACAAGCATAAGAATTATAAATAGCAGCAGACAACAGTTCAGAATCAATTATTTTGTATTCTATGGTCTCAAACTCTTCCTCATCCATACTACTACCCAAAATATTCAGCTCTGACTCAAGTTTATATATATATGTAGATGATGCTTGAGCATAATGATCTGAAACTTGAGTCAGAGCTGACTATTTTGGGTAGTAGTAGGTCAAAGTCAAAGTCACTTTGCGACTGACGGTCCTACGACTCGCAGGGTCATGGTGGAGGTATTCGACCCCACCCCCACATGGGTGGTAGTAGTACAGACGAGAAAGCGTTATATATATGATGCTTGAGCATAATGATCTGAAACTTGAGTCAGAGCTGAATATTTTTGGTAGTAGTATGGATGAGGAAGAGTTTGAGACCATATTATATATATGTGTGTGTGTATATATATACATTATATATTTTCTCCAACCTTCTACCATTTCATCCCTATTTGGTCCAAATATTCTCCTCAGCACCCTGTTCTCAAACATGCTCAGTCTGTGTTCCTAAATGTCAAAGAACAAGTTTCACACCAATACAAAACCACAGGCAAAATTATAGTTTTGTATGTTCTAATTTTTACGTTTCTAGACAGCAGATGAGAAGACAAAAGGTTCTGAATGGAATGGCAGCAAGCATTACCCAAATTAAATATCTTCTTAATTTCCCCATGAAACAAATGTTGATGTTACTGATATTTGAACTGTTCCACATTTTGAAAGGATCCGTTAACTATTTTTATGTCGTGATTTTGCCCTGCGTTCTGGTGATGAGAGCAAAAGACACTTAGTTTTCTCTGGGTTTACTTCTAAACCAACCTCCTCACTGCATCAATTAGAGTGTGTATGATTTTATTTATGATATCTATATTATCCCCCAACACATTTACATCAGCATAGACCAGCAACTGATATGTCCCATTTAATTTCAGTCTCACCTGGTTTTCCTGGACCTTCCTAATGGCATGCTCTAAAGCAAAATTGCAAAGCATCTAATTGTTTTAGACCATTCTGGATAGGAAAATTAACAGACATAAGGACTTACAAAAAATTTAAATTCACTAGGGGGGAGGGGTGGGGTCCCTCTGGGTCGACTTGGCATGGCGGCCACTGATTGGCCTATTGTACCTGCCCCAGTTGATTATGATGACAGATAATTTGGTGGAATGAAGATTGTCAGGGGAAACCGAAGTACTTGGAGAAAACCCTGCCCCAGTGCCACATTGTCCACCACAAATCCCACTTGAGCAATGGCACGTCCCTATAAGGACTTAACTATATGTTTCATTTAAATACATTTTAGTTAGCCTAACTTACAGTTTCAAGAGTACCCCAAACTCTCTGAGAGTATTGTACAATACTGTCCTCCTAAATGAATAGTAGGCTTTCTTAAAGTCTATGAGTAGCTGATGTACTGTCTCATTGTACTCCCATTTCCCACTCCGTGTATCTGATGAATGCAAAAAATCTGATCAGCAGTTTATCTGTTGTGTTGAAGCCCACATTGATGATTCCCAATAATTTCATCTATGTATGGACTTAACCTTGAGAGAAGAATATTTAACAAAATTTTATATGAAGTTGATAGCAGTGATATCCCAATAATTACTACAGTCAGTTTCATCACCCTTCTTGTGAATGGGCACAATAATAGACTCTTTCCATTGATTAGGCAATTCTTCCTTATTCCAAATGGAATTAAAGAGATTATGGATCTCAGACTGTAATGTTTTACCCCCGGCTTCAATCAGTTCTGCCAGAATTTCATCGCTACCTGATGATTCATACTTTTTCAACATTGAAAATAGCCGGTTTCAACCTCAAAAGGACGAGATCTGGTATTAATGGCTAAGTATTCCGATCTGACTAACATCACTGACCCTATGTACTTTCAGCTGTTTGAAAGAAGCAGTTCTTCCACTTATTCAAAATGTTGTGGGAATCTCCAAGCAGATCACCATTCTCATCCTTCACCAAGTTACTTATAGGTTGGTAACTCCTCTTAAATTCATCTATTCCTCTATACAGGTCTCTAATGATCTTATTCTGTTTGTCACAAGCTCATTAATTTGTCTTTAAGATAGTCCCCCTTTTTATTTCTTAAGAGCCTGCTGGCTTTGCATCTTATATTGTTCAGATTATCCTCATTTACTTCACTTAGATCTTGTAACCACTGCAACTTTTCTTGTTTCCTTTGATGTAATAATTCTGAACTACAACTACGTACAACTGCAGATGACTGAAGCTTTCCCCTCATTTCAACTCTGCTTCACTCGTCCATACAGGCCTATCCAACTCTGGAATATCTGAGTCTGAGTCTCATTTTATGACCAATGGTCAGTCGGCGAGTCTATCTTGGCATAAAGCACCCATCTGAGGCTTGTGACCAGATCTTTATTACTGTTTGACAGTTACCGTCTTGATTTTTGTGGGTGCCCTCTCTGAAGAGAGGATGGGCCTGTCTTTTGTACTCATATATGCTGCTGGTTCTTGACAGCACAGTCTTTCTCGGGTCCGAGACCCTTGGTACTCGAGACCATATGTTACTGTTTCAAATTTGAGACTTCTCTTTTTGTCGCCTCCTCCGACTTGCAGGGTCATGGTGGAGGTACTTGAACCCACCTCCACGCGGGCCTGGAATATCTCAGAGTCAGAGTCAGAGTTACTTTATGACTGGCGGTTTACTGCCAATCAGTTCATCTTGGAGTCAGGCCCCTTGAGGCCCACGACCAGAGATTTTTTCTTTTCCAACTGAACTCTTGCGGTAATAGTCCTTACATAACATCCTCTGACGTTCAACCCCCATATATAGGAGCTTTTTGGACTGCTTAGTGAACACCTTTCTCTACAGTTTGGTTTTCCTGCAACGAACCCTCTGTTGTCCATCTCCAGGTAAACGTGTTTGTTGTTTCGGCAATCTCTACACAACGGTCTGTTGGTATTTGATTTGTTGCTGTGGGAACTTAACAATTTCCATTGTTCTCGTTATTCCGCAATGGGGGACATATAACACATTACATTGCTCCTTTCTAGAGGTTGTTCATCCCAAACAGCCTAACAGTACTTCCTTTCCTTCATCTCCTTGGTGTTGATCTTCCAGGCGCTACCTCCACCCCCATTCTTCAAGGGTGTTCATCCAGAGCAGCTCCATGGTCCAGCGTTCGTTGGTCCCTTCGTATCACATTCACCCCTCACTCATTCACTCTCGCTGGGGAGGCCTCTGCCTTTACGTTACCAGCTCCTCCTCTGTGCGCTGTTTCATTTTTTCTGTTTCGGAGGGGGTTGACCCCTCCACAAGATCCAGTCTTTGTCTTCTTGTAGGCCGACAGAAGATCCGGCTATTCACTTTGCGATCTTCATGCTGACAATCTCATAGAAGGTCTTCTTTCGAGTTCCTCTCCCTCCTAGGTGCGATCACTGTCCTGGTATACACCCTCCGATGACATTCTTGGTTGGCTCCTTTTTCTTCTGACATAGTGGCCATCTGCCGCCTACATTCTTTATTCCCTTTCTTCCTTCTTGGAGAGTCCGCACTCTTCCTCTGAGTCTCCAGATTCTTCCCTCATCCTTGATCCTGGTACAGTTTCTTCTACGCCATGCCACTTCTGCGTGGCGGGTCATCCTCATTCTAGCAGCGACCAGTTCCCTCCATGGTTCACATTTCCTGGGTCTTGCTCGTCCCAATGATGTCTCTCCTGCGTCATGCCACTGTTGGACGACGGGACATCTTCCTGTCAGTTCCTTTGTCTGCCGTGCCACTGCTTGAAATTTTTCTTTACATTGGTGATCATGTCTTTCAAACAAAATAGCTATTACTTATTCACAGTGGCCCCCCGTGTGTTTCTACCTTGTTGTGGTGGTGGGGCTTGCATGCATCAGTGACCCAGCAAACTATGTCGGCGGTAGCATAGCTCCTGGCAGACTCTCCCAAGTCGAACAGGTCAAAGTGTAGGTACCAGACAAAATGAAACACATACAAGTGCTCAGGCGATAGGTGGTTGTTCCACCAGGGCACTCAAGTGCTGTGGGCTAACAACTCACACTTTTTAAATTTACTTGTTATGGAAACTATGCAAAGCAAAAGCTGGACTGATGAAATGTTGTCGACCTTACCACCGAAGAAGGTATCCAAGATTGGAATATGAAGTGTGAGAACATTGCATGAAAGTGTGAAAATCCAGCAGCTTGACCCAGAAATGAATAATTTGAATTTTATACGAGTATATTAGAAGTAAGTGAAGTTTGTTGACATAAGAGAATCATATCAGCAGTTAAGAGGGTAGAGGTCATTAGTGATAGGATATTATATATGTATAATACTAAAAGGTCACTGGTATGATAACATTGTTATGAACATTCACGCCCCAACAGAAGATAAAATTGATGACATAAAGGACAGGTTCTATGAAGAACTAGAACATGTATTTGATAAATTCCCAAAGTACCATATGAAAATTTTGTTAGAGGATTTCAATGACAAAGTAGGGAGGGAAGACATTTCCAACCCAATGATTGGGAATAAGAGTTTGCATGGAATTAGTAATCTTAATGGAATTAGAGTAGTAAACTTTGCCACATCAAAAACTCTTACTGTCAAAAGTACAATGTTCCTGCATCATAACATCCATAAATTTACTTGGACATATCCTGATGGGAAGATAAACAATCAAATCAACCATATTTTGATTGGCAGGAGACGGCATTCAAGTATACTTGATGTCCTATCATTCAGGGCAGCAGATTGTGATACTGACCACTACCTGGTGGTGGCAAAGGTTAGGGAAAGACTGGCAGTGAGCAAAAAAAAATGCACATAGTTCATGTGAAGATGTTCAATCTCAAGAAATTAAATGAGGTAGAAGGTAAAGAGCAGTATCGTGCTGAAATCTCAAATAGGTTCGCGGCCTTGGAAAATTTGGACACTGAGGTGGATGTTAATAAAGCTTGGGAAATTATTAGAGAGAATATCAAAATTTCTGCCAAGGAGAGTCTAGATTATTATGATCTGAAGAAGCATAAGCCATGGTTCGATGAAGAATGCTCAAAATTATTAGATCAAAGAAAACAAACCAAATTGCAATGATTACAGCATCCAAGCAAAATAAATATGGATAATCTGAAAAATATAAGATGCAAAACCAGCAGGCATTTCAGAAATAGAAAGAGGGAATATCTGAAAGACAAAATTGATGAGCTTGCAATGAACAGTAAGAGCAAGAACACTGGAAATTTGTACAGAGGAATAAATTACTTCAAGAGGTGTTACCAATCTAGAAGTAACTTAGTGAAGGATGGGAATGGTGATCTGCTTGCAGATTCCACAACATTTTGAATAGGTGGAAGAAATACTTCTCTCAGATGTTGAATGTACATAGGGTCAGTGATGTTAGGCAGATAGAAGTACATACAGCTGAGTCATTAATACCTGATCCCAGCCCTTTGTAGGATGAAATTGTTATTGCAAAATTGAAAAGGTATAAATCGCCAGGTAGTGATCAAATTCCAGCAGAACTTATTCAAGCAGGAGGTGAAATATTACGTACATTCTATCCAGAATGGTCTAAAACAAGGAGATCCTTTATCACCACTCCTTTTCAACTTTGCTTTAGAATATGCCATTAGGAAGGTCCAGGAAAACTAGATGGAACTGAAATTAAACGGGACACATCAGCTGTTCGTCTGTGCCGATGATGTGAATCTACTGGGTGATGATATAGATACCACAACGAAAAACTCACAAACTTTAACTGATGCAAGTAAGGAGGTTAGTCTAGAAGTAAACACAGAGAAAACTAAGTTCTCATCACCAAAATGCAGGGCAAAATCATGACCAAATGATAGGAAACAGGTGTTTTGAAAATGTGGCACAGTTCAGATATTTGGGAACGATGATAACAAATGAAACCTGAAGAAAACCTTCTTCTGGGATGTGGCGCCATGTAGAAATTGTGTTAACAGACGTTTCAGAGGAACATATCGCCTCCATCTTCAGGGTAGAAGACAAGAAGAAATCCGTGAGCGAACCAGCTTGAGCAGGTGCAACAGACTGAGTCCAGTCAAGTAAACACAGCTGTATAAGAGAAGGAAGGGAAGTGAGTGGGGCTACATGGGGAAACGGTAGAGAGGGGGAAGGGGAGGGTCTGGTGAAATGGGCAGCAGGTAGCAGGCCAGAGCAGGTATAGAGTATGTGTTAGGGGGAGAGAAGAGAAGGTTAAATGGAGGGCATTAACCATGTAGCTCAGGGGCTGCGACGGACCTGCGTGGCCTTGTGGATCTGGCATCATCTCGGAGGTTTCTCGAGGGAACAGATGAGAGGCTTCCATGACTTGCTGAGGCAAAACCCCACATCTCTGTTCATATTGTCGGAATGGAGTTCAATCTCAATGGTCTCCCTAATGATGCGATCCATATAACGGTCTTGGTGGTGAGGATGGATGGATGTACCACTGATGCTCCTTTAACCTCATGTCCACAGAATGGCCCGTCTGCCGAATATAGACCTTGCCGCACTTGCATGGGATAATGAATACACCTGGTGTCCTTAGTCCCAGGCTATCTTTGACTGGCCGGAGGAAACTTGATAATTTCTTTGGAGGCAGGCCCACTGATTTGATGTTGTGCCGGGACAGCACACTGCTGATATGGTGGAATATAGTCCTGACATAGGGCAGGATTATACATTGTTGTATGGAAAATAGAGTAGTAACAGACAATTGGAGATGGGCTTTTCAAACATATGATAATCACAATGTTATCAGAAGGGGAATGAGATGGGTGAATCCTGAGAAATATTCACAAAATTTTAGTTGGAAGACCTCAAGGGAAGAGACTACTTCAGAAATATAGTCTTAGATGGGAGGAGTATTGAAATGAATCCTGATGACATAGGGCATAATGATATGGACTGAATTGAACTGATTCAAGATTAGGCCCAAGATGATTATAAACTTTTGTGTTCCACAAAAAGCAGGCATACTTCTTAACCAGTTGAACTATAAACTTCTTTCCAACATTTCACCATAATGTTAATTGCTTACTTATTTCTTAAAGAAGCTTCATAAGTAATTTCTCCACTTCAGGGAAGTGGAAGAGTATCATTGATTTGTTTCATGAGGAAGTTGAAGAAGGAAAAGAGAGTTTCTATGATGAGCGTTACCTCTGGGTACGACCTTCTGAGGATAATCTACAGTTCATCAAGCAACAAATTGTGAAAGCTGGATGCTGTCAGCTTGTCAGCATTGGATGTGGAAGTGGGCTACTAGAATGGCTTATATGCACAGCTACAGGTAAGAATAACAGTTGTTTTGAATAATAATACATTTTAGGGCTTGGGAAATCTTTCATAAATTACAAGCGTGACAGAAGTCTGTGTAAAGTTCATATCTGGAGAACCTGGCATATTCTGGGTTATCTCTTATCAGAGCACATGGAACTTTATTAAGTACCCTGTATTTGCCTATTTGGCCCAAATAAGCGAACTTAGAGGATATCAACGCTTCATCTATTAGGGCATTATTTAGCAAGAATTACTTGCAAGTGAGCAAATGTGGTAAAATATAACATGTTACAGAAATGCTAATGATGTCATTGCTGTTCTGGCCTAGCCTTCCTGTTATCATTTGTTAATCTCAAAATCTTATCTTCAGATCTTGATTTTGCCTGTTGTTACTGAGAAAATACAAGGGCAGGCAGATATAAATGGATCCCATGGTCCTAATAAGCAGGATGTGGAACATATCAGAGTACAATACATCACATTCAGAAATTACATTGAAACTCTTTTAATTTTTCCTTGAGAATTAGGGGATCTAAGCATGAAACTAGGAAAATCTTAAATGGAGAAAATTTAACACTGAAATTATTGATGTGGGATTGCTGAAAGTGAATACTAAATGGGGAATTCACTGCACCTATAAATACAATAAGATCATGAAGAGTCCTGAAGCAAAATTAATTGCTCCTGAATACCGGCTAATTATAGCTAGGAGAGGTATGTACATTTTAATTTTGGCTCCAAGCCATGAGTTGAAAGGAAGTATGGTATTACGATATTTACAAATCTTGATTTTTTTTTTGGTGGTCAGAAATCAGGAAGGTATTGAGAAAACAATAAATTTAACAGTCTATGCCAGTATCAAATGTGAGACATTTTAGGAGGCTAATGCCTTAACCCTAGACCTTAAGATTCTGTTTCAATGACACAATAAAAGGGAGATTCAAATCCTGAATCTATTTTTAAAGTCACTTTTACCTTGATTATTAACACAGGTTTGGAGGTGACTGGTATAGAAGTGGACCGTGGTTGGTGGGAATCTCCATATGCTCCTCCAGTTTTTCTTCCGTTAATTTATGCAGATGAATCATATGACAGTGATATCACTACCAACAAGAATGCAGCTCTCCTATTTTGCTACTTCAATGATGGATCTGCATTTTCTGAATATATGAGACAATATCAGGGTACCTGTTTCATCGTGATTGGTCCAGGAGAAGGGAGAGGTACACACACACACCCAGCACCTTTTAATATTCAACTTGAAAGTGAATTTACTTGGAAAATGGCAGCTTATCAAGAAGTTCAACACACAAAGGACTTCATTGCTATATATGTGAAATCTTAGTCGGAGCCTGAAATATCTCCTAGTCACAGTTCAAGGATAAATTCTTCACGATAGTTCACTCTAAAGAGGTCATTTTGGACTCTTCAGACAAGACCAGTGTTGGACTGAGTTAAACAATTTAAAAGAGGAAACTGAAACTGGATCTCTTAGTGTATCATATGCTAAAATAATAAATGTAAGAATGTTAACATACCACAAGCATTTCATTCCTCTCAGAAACCTTCTCTCTGATCACACTGTAGGTAGGTGACTGCTGAAAGGACTTGAGGTTATGTGTTTCTCTGTGTGATGGAGAGAACAGATAAGTTCCAATTAGCACTATCTCTACAGCTGTGGGAAAAGTAGACACTCCAGCCTTTGCTGTGTGAGGAGCCAGGTATCCTATAGGACATGAAAAAAATGTTATGACTGTGAGACTGATAGCACAATGTCATGCATGTTTATGTATGTGCAATCCAGCAAAAACTGTGAACCGGTACAGGTGATGTTTAAACAGTTGATTTTCACCAGATTATTTTGATTATCATTTTCAAAGAGAAAGAGGATCTTTCATTCATTTGTATACAATGAAGAATTATCATGTTTGTGAGCTGTTTTATATTTTCGGTTTTAATTTGTTTCAGAATCAGTCTTTCTAAAAACTAGTCAATTCCAAAGGGTTGACGATGGTGTATAACACTCAGGATTACCGAGTTTTTGAAGTATGTCCATTGCCCACTATTTTAATGAACACAACATTTTGGAAACTGGATGTTTCCATCTCAGGTGAAAGGGTGGGAGGCCTCTACTCAGTCAAGTCTGTCAGAGAGAGCTAACCGCAGGCATTCGACCATCTATATCAGTATAACTACATCTGTATATGCATCTGAGATCAGGTTTGCCAATGGAAGATAACAGGAAATTTTACAACCTCTTTATTACAACCGTCACAACACAACTAATATCAAGATCAGTGCCTAGTTTCAGCTCTGCTACATGTTTTGGTTATTAATAGCCATCATCAGGCAAATACATTGATATTGATATTAGTTATGCTGTGACGGTTGTAATAAAGAGGTTGTATATTGTAACACAACAGGATGCATGAAATGAAAATTAGGAAATTTTACAATAAAAGCTGTTTAAAGGCATATAAAAGACTGAAACCAAAATATAAAAAAGTGGAAAACAGATGCATGAAACTAAACCAACAGCCAAATCCAGAAACACCAATGTAAAGGAGTGTTTCATAATACCAACCTGCTGCTAGTGTCATCTGTGGAAGAAAAATTTATTCCTGGAACTAAAATAATATAGATACAACTGAAGAGCCTGCCAGATAATACTGAACTTCTCTATAAGTTTCTAATCTCATTGCTGATAATGGGAATCCACATCAGAGAAGTTTCAAACTGGGATGTAGTTACTATAGGATTCTGACGATGGAGTATAACACACTGATATGTTGGGTTTTTGGACTTCATCCATCGCCCTGGTTTTTAAGATAACAAATAAAAACACGACGTTTCGGAAACTGGATCTGTTTCCGTCCTCAGGTGAAGGAAAACACCTATTCAGTTGGGTCCCTTAGAAAGAGCTAGCCTCAATCACTGGACGATTGAGGCTAGCTCTAAGGGACCCAACTGAATAGGTGTTTTCCTTCACCTGAGGACGGAAACAGATCCAGTTTCCGAAACGTCGTGTTTTTATTTGTTATCTTAAAAACCAGGACGATGGATAAAGTCCAAAACCCCAACATATCAGTGTGTTAGTGTGTTCAAACAGGGATGTTTCATCAGATTTCTTAATGTTCCTCACAATTTCCAAAACCCTGGCTTCATTCCAACCTTCATAGGCCTATGGGCCAGTTTTGATTTTTTACAAGACCTTCTCTGAGAGAGCCTTAGTTCACACAGCTACACAGCTTGTTTCATCAACATAGTTTCTACCACATTCAAATGAAATGCTACAGACACAATGTGCTGTCTGTTGCAGATCTCTTTCCAGTCTGGTTTTCATGAATGAGCTCCTAAGAGTGAGTTTAGTTTTGAAGATTTTCTTAATCTTGTAATGATTCTCTATATGTTTGAACATTTCAGAATTGTTCTTCATGTGGGGGACAGACACAGAGCTTGTTCCTTTTTTTTCTGGATGACTACCTTTGGAACTAAAAACTGTTGTCAATTTCTTAAACAGATCTTGCCATTCTTGGTATATCACAGAAGCCCTGTTGTGTAGACTCTGAATCTTTCCTCTTTTGACATGCAAAGGATTATTCAGTAGGTAGTTCAGGTAGCAGCCTGTGTAGGTGGGTTTTTTAGAAACCTCAGTGGCCATTGCCCACTCTTGCCTGATGACCAAAACACCCAGAAAAGGAGATTAGTATTATCTGATTCTACTTCTTGAGCAAACTGGGTGAAGATCTTACAACTACTGAGGTGGCTGAAGAGATTCTATTAACTGACTGGATCATCAGCCCAGTCCACAAATGTGTCATCTACATACCAGAGTCAGTGTGATGGTCTGTATTGCACTGTGTCAAGAGTCGGTTTCTCAGAATGTTCCATGAAGATGTTGCTAATAATCGGGGATAGGGAGCTTCCAATAGCCATGCCATCTTTCTACGTGTATAACTTATCTTCCACCTGAAAGTAGGTGGTTCTCAAACAAACTTCCAACAGTTCCAAAATGGCTTCAACTTTCAAGCCTTTTTATTTTGTTGTAATTTTCCTTATCTCCCATTGACAAAACCTGATCTCAGAAATCCACTTCCTGAAATGGTGTGTTTAAAGTACCATACAATGGATGAAGTCCAAAGACTCAGTAATCCTGAGTTTATAAAAACTGTTTTACCTCTCCATCATTAATTATTCATTCCAAGCTCAAACACATTCTCATAATTATGTGTATCATATTTATCACTAAGAATCAGTAATGAATCCTTCAGGGAATTCAGATGTACATGGGTGCTGCAAATATCCTGGAAAGCTAAGGTTTCAGTTCAAGAGATATTCACACACATGTACTCAGATATAGCAGTCAGACTGAAATCTTACAGTGGGATAACTACTTCTAGCATAGACAAACAGTCTGACAAAATACACTATGAAATTATGTCATAGTTTTCAAACTATACTTAACAAAGCTGGTACAGCTGTAGAATAATAGAGTATAACATAATTTAATACACATTTTAAGAATATAATTCTTGAAAATATTGAGTCTCATAACATACCAACAAAAACTTAAAAATTAATTGATGGGCAATGTTTTTTAATGAAATGGTATCAAAATGTTGAAAGTATGGAGTGTCAAATGACTCAAAAGTTCAGACCTTCCTGAAAGGAGCAGGATGAAGTTAATTTTCTGCATGTGAATGAAGGTACTGCTAAATTTTATTTTATTTCTTCATTTAGGAGCAATCTTAGGTCTGGTCATGAATGAAAGCTAAAAGAAGTACATTGTATATTTGCAAATAATTAACCTCTGAAACCGTTTTTTAATCAACAATTATAACTGTCTGCTAATGACTCCTGCCTTTGATATTGTCACAGGAGTTGGGCATGTGGGGGTTACCAGGTCTGTACACACTCCTTGTTCTATCAAAATATTCATACCCCCTCTTTGCATCTTCTGGTATGTTTTGGGAACCACTCGGCTTCCAATGAAGGCCAAGTTCACTTAAGATTTCCCTGTAACCTTTTTGAAGTGTGACTGTGCCCATGAAGTAGCTGTCAACATCTCATGAAGGCAGAGTTCAGTTTTGCATAGCACAAAGCAGTCAAGACGATGAGTCAGTCAGTGCAGACTGTCATACACATCCACATATCCCATATATGCATCTGTCAGTTTTAATCTCAAAGAGTTCCACAACATAATCATTTCTGTAATTTTAACTGAAACAGAAAAGTTCCATATAAAATTCTAAGGTATAATTTATGATCTACTTAGATACCAAATTTTATGATTCATCAGTTACAGCTAACAAATTGAAAAGGGGGGAAAACTGCTAGGTTTTCCATGTTACTTAATATTCTCTACAAAATTTTCCTCATCATGTTGACACATTCATGAAGACATCAGTCAGTCTTTTGTTATTTAATAAAGAAAATAGTCACAGTTTCCATACAAAAGTAATTGGTATTTATTTATGCACCTATGCTTACAAAAATAAATACACTGTATAATAATGCTTTGTTATCAGAATCAATTCTATCCTTACACAGCTAGGTACAATCAAACAGAAACCATCTTACACACAAGAAAGTACATACACTAGTATTTGGTGTGTTGCTTTGTAATTCTCACTTAAAATGTATACAGTCTACATTTATACTTATATAATGATGCCATCTGTGCAGAATGGATGAACGTACTGGTATTCACTATTACTGGTTCAAGTAACAAATCTGAAATACCAAAGGAGACAGCCAAGGTTCATACAGTATACTGTATTACTTTGAATATAAAAGTCCTTCAATTTAACATGCAACAAATTTTTAAATGAGGGTTTTAGGAAAAAATTGTAAAGATATATTTATTTCAATGAGTTTTCTTAGAACACATCAATTAAGACATCAAAATATTTAGAACATATTGTCATTTTCAAACCTAAAATGGTATACACTGTCCATGCACTGGCAATGAGAACATTACAAATACAGCAATGTGTATTTAATGAAAAACACTTACTTAAATGTTTATTTTGAAAGTACTTATAATATTACAGCAACCTTGCAGTAAAAAAAAAGTCAGTTGTATAAAAAGAAAATGCTCCTGCACTATTTACATGACACAGTTACTCAGTTTACAAAACCAAAAATTTAAAAATGAAAGTGAGTCTTGATTCATCTGTCCTCCTTTGGGCTGCACACTGGCTTATATAGTGGCAGAAGCTATAACTTACAGGTATGGTTGAAACATTAATTACAAAAAATATTTATTGTAGCAACTTATGTGTGTTTTAAGTTCTTATTTGTAATTGTTATGACAGCCTTTCAATATTTTTAAACGTCTCTTTGTTTCCATCAAAATTATGAGTTTCCTCATTATTTACAGTACTACCATAACATTGTACACTGGACAGTCAAAAAGTTCCCAGAATTCCCCTGCAGATGAAGAACGAGAGACAAGATAGTACACGCATTATTGTTATGGGGAGCTCAGCATGTCTGCTTGCAGGTCCAACAGGTCTGGACGGGTTTCAGCATGCAATGTCATTACTGTTCCATTTGAATTAGACACAAGTGTTGGTCATTTGGTGCAATGCTGCAGTTCGAACAGTGTACGGACATCAAGTTCATGTGCAAATTGAGAAAATCTGCTTCAGAGACACTATTGGCCCTGCAGCAAGTTTATGGTGATACTGCACTAAAGAAATCCACAGTTTATGACTGATATTCCCAGTTTAAGAACGGACAAGAGCACTGGAGGATGACCAGCGCAGTGGGAGGCCTTCAACATCCAGAACCAAAGAAATAATTGAAAAAGTGTGACAACCGATTCAATCTGATAGATCATTTCTATGTGAAAGTTTTGCAGAGGTTGTGAGATACAGTTCTGAGAAAGTGGCATGACAAGTGGCAGGGACAGTGGTTTCTGCATCACGATAATGCACAGAGCCACACATCGCTTGTTGTGCAGCAATTCCTCATTGAGAAAAACATTCCTGTCATCAACCAACCACCGTACTCTCTGAATCTTACTCTGAGTGACTTTTGGCTGTTCTCTACTATCAAAATGAGTCTCATGGTGACTAGTTTCGCGACTATGGAGGACATCAAATCGAATGTGATGGCCAAACTCTGGAAGATTCCAAAAGAAGCCTTCCACTGGTACTTCCAACAGCGACAGGATCAATGGAGCAAGTGTGTGTGCAAGGGTCCTGCTTTGAACGTGATTAGGTATGTAAGATATAAAGCATACATGAATATACCGTCTACACAACAACACTGTATTTTAAAACAAAGAAGACACTACTGTATCAAAAAATGTTGTGTTGTTGTGTAGACGGTATATTCTTGTATGCTTTACATCTTATGTGAGACACAAAACAGGATGCAAACTATTAAGACTGATTCTGTATGTGTTGCTGTATGTCCTACCATTACAGAGCAATACACCATTCCAGAAACTTTCTGACTGCCCCTCATATACATTTATGCACAACACTGAAAGTGACCACTGTGAAGATGAAGATACAGAAAACCTTAAAGGAGAGCTGAGAATATCATTTACTAGTAAGAGCACACAGATACACAGACAAAAGACATAATATATTTATGAGGTCTGAGGTTTTCATGTTGGAGAATGTTTGGATTGTGACTTTCTGGACTGTGACATTACGTGGTTATCAACATTTAAGGAAATCTGCTGCCTCTATCTGGATATGGAGAGCATGTTCCTCTGAAATGCTGGTGACCCCCACATGACTACATGATGTCATAACTCACATTACTGCAGTCTAAAGTGATATATTTATATTTACATTCAACTTTCAGACATTAAAGAAAGTGTGTATCCTCAAAGTCTTACATACACATTTGAACATAAAGTCTCAATCTGAATTTCCTTTCCAGAATTACCAAGACAACACTATTATGTCTCATAATAAAGACTCAAAATTTTGATGCAAGTGAAATGAACTGTATATACGAGTACAAAATTAAGCATTTGCACTGGGACCACATTTAATAAGGCTTGTAGCTGAAACCCCATTACAATACAGCCTATGAATGAATAAAACTGAACATCACATTATGATGATATCCTTTCCAACTTCTATGAGAAGAGCTAAATTTAAGAGTAAAAATAAATCAATATTAAGGTTAGGTTCCTGTTCTGAATTTTCAGTATGCACAGTTTCTATGAAGCCATATCTTCTCCAACCTTGAATTTAAGTTCTTGAGGTTCTTTGATATCCTGAATGTCTCCTGTTATTTGCTCAGCTTCAAATTCTGGTGTCAATGGCATCTGAAATTTAGAGTATTTAACTTTTAATGTGTTGCATTTACATTTCATGAGTGAAAAAAACTCAGTCTCTTATGGCAGAAAATATTAAATTAACGTGGGCAATGAACTTTATAAAGTAGTGATATTCTTGGAATGATGGACTTCCAAGGGCTGGATGCATTTAGTAACTCAAATTCTGATGGCTATGGGGCATCTGCCCATTACCTACTTTGTTGATTATGAAACATTACTTGATGAAAAAACTAGATCATTTGATGGATAACACATATAGTATATCCACAGGGAAATTTCATGATAATTTTATGGCACTTGCTTTACAATTTATGAACTGATTTCATTGAAGTACTGTGAAAAAACGAAACCATATTTATAGGTATGCCAAGAGACAAAGTTTTCATTAAGAGTTTTTAATAACTTCACAAGATTAATTCTTCCTTTGATAAATGTTCACCTGTTACATAAATTATTCCCACACAGCTTCATGAAAAACAATCCAGCTATGGAATGTACGTCTGAGTTTTGAAGGATGTTTAAATGTTTATACTTGGATATTGCCAGGGTGATTTGCCTCACTTCTCCAAAACAGAAAGATTAATGGCATCACAAGTACTTTTATCAGCCTAGAGAGAATACCGTCTCCCATGACATGTAGTTGTACCCTGCCAAATGGGAATACATTATCTCACTGTATCATGTTTTCTTAGCACAACAGAGTCCCAAAAAGATAACTTTTTATTTGCCATGTGTGTGTATTTTTCTTAAAGCCTCAAAAATTATAAGATACTTTTTGTAACTGAAATATCGAAGTCTTAAGAGGTGATTTTACTGACCTCTCCCTGGAGATGCAGAAATCTTTGAATATTTATAGTTCTCTCCATGCAGCCATTCAGTTTACTGTTTCACAAAGTGGCAAAATCAGACAAATATACACAGATGCTTCAAAACACATCTGCTTACCTCATCAAAAACAAACTCCATGGCCTGTAGTTCACAAGTGAACTACTCTGACTGAGTGACTGCCACTTGTCAGCGAAGTTAGTGCCAACTTTTGCAGACAGAGGGTGTCACATGGTCAGCGCAACGGATCCCCACGGCCGTTAATTTCGGTTTTCTAGACCAGAGCAGCCATTTCCTTGAAATAGCTCCCAATTATCCTCACAAGGCTGAGTGTACCCTGTTCCAGGCCCACTATTTCTCAGAAAATCTGGTAGTGCCGGGAATCGAACCTGGGACCTCTGGATCTGTAGCCAGGAACTCTGACCACTAGACGACAGAGGCAGTCTGGTTACCTCATCACACCTTTCATAAACTCTACATCACCTTAAACTCACTTCATTATTATACTCCTATTCAAAAAGAATCAGTACAGTAATGACAAAGTTATTAATTATGTTAGGAACCAGGATAGTGTAGTTGGTATAGTGACTGGCTATGGGATGGATGACCAAGGGGTCAGAGTTTGAGTCCCGGTGGGGTCAAGAAATTTCTCTTCTCCACACTGTCCAGACCGGCTCTGGGTTCACCCAAACTCCTATCCAATGGGTACTAAGGGCTGTTCCCCAGGGGTAAAGCGGCAGGGGCATGAAGTTGACCCCTCACCTCCAGCTAGTGCCAAGATCAAGAAAATGTGGATCTATACATCCACTCCCCCATAAGACTTCATGGCATAGTGCTTAATTAGTCACGCACTAGGAACACTAACTCACTCATGCAGCTGAGCTCTTCTTGAAAAGTCGTCAATTGGGTAGAACTCAAGAACTTCCCAGCATTTTATGGAACCTGAAGGTTCTTTACTGTGTTCACATGAGCCCTCCACTGGTCCCTATCCTGAGCCAGATCAATCCAATCCATACCATCACATCCTCTCTCTCTAAGATCCATTTTAATATTGTCCGCCCACCTACGCCTTGGTCTTCCCAGTGGTCTCTTTCCATCTGGCTTTCCCACCAATATCTTACATGCATTCCTGTTCGCTCCCATCCGTGCTACATGCCCTGCCCATCTCATCTTCATTGACTTGATCATTCTAATTATACTTGGAGAAGAGTACAAGTTTTGAAGCTCCTCATTATGCAGTTTTTTCCAACCTTCTGTCACTTCAGTCTAAATATTCTCCTGAACAGCCTGTTCTCAAACACCCTCAGTCTATGATCCTGCCTTAATATTAGAGACAAAGTTTCAAACCCATACAGAACCACAGGCAAAATTACAGTTTTGTATATTCTAATTTCTATTTTTTTGGACAGCAGACGAGAAGACAAAGGGTTCTGGACTGAACGGTAACAAGCATTGCCCAAGTTTAATTTCCTCTTAATTTCCTCCTCAATCAGGTTTTGATTTGTTATCGTTGTTACCAAATATCTGAACTATGTTCCTGTTATGGCCCAAGGGTTATGTACAAGTAGATACAGTTTTTGGTTAATTTGGAATAAGGGTATCTAGACTTTAAGATTAAGAACTAGAAATAATGAAATGCACCAGGAAGCTTGGGTTTGCAAAGAAGTGTAACAGGCAATCGCTTTGTAATCAGAATGTTAGCACGACAGCGTAATAACGTTGACATTGAGGAAGAAGCTATATGAAGTGGGTCATAAAAACTATGGCATGAGGAAAACGCTGAGTCGGAGAGGGCGGTAGACCTGAAAGAGCCAACCCCTTTCGATAAACAGCCAATGAGTGGGCCACACCGACCCAAGGTCACGTCAGGATGGGCGGGTGAATACACCCCTGGAACCCAGCAAGTCAGCAAAAAGAGGGTACATAAACTCTAGAGGAACCAATCGAAAAAAAAGATCATTAATTGTCAAGGAGTCAGCCGTAGGCTATCGCCGAGACAGTGATGGTGATGAGTAGCTGTTGGTTGGTGATGGCGACCTGTTTCCTTAGCTCACGTAAGTAGACTTACTTCATATAGCCATGAACATTAAGTGTGATAATATTAAAGTGCAAACCCCAGGGAGAGAAAGTGAAGACTAGATGGACTAGGTTTTCTAAGAAAGCGAGACAGAGGCTTAGAATACCCAATAGCAGGGTGACAGGAGTAGGACTAATGTGCGTGCTACAGGATAATAACCCACATGTAATACGAACCGACGAACGTCGGCAAATGGTGTATATATTATGTATATAGCGACATAGGTGAATAGAGTAGGATAGAAATGCGCTGTGATGTTAACTGAACCTAGTATTCCCTCAAGTGTTATCGTCTTCCCCGCCAACTCCAGCCTCCCTCCGAATCCTCCAGGAGAACTGCAAACTCAAGCNAACCAATCGAAAAAAAAGATCATTAATTGTCAAGGAGTCAGCCGTAGGCTATCGCCGAGACAGTGATGGTGATGAGTAGCTGTTGGTTGGTGATGGCGACCTGTTTCCTTAGCTCACGTAAGTAGACTTACTTCATATAGCCATGAACATTAAGTGTGATAATATTAAAGTGCAAACCCCAGGGAGAGAAAGTGAAGACTAGATGGACTAGGTTTTCTAAGAAAGCGAGACAGAGGCTTAGAATACCCAATAGCAGGGTGACAGGAGTAGGACTAATGTGCGTGCTACAGGATAATAACCCACATGTAATACGAACCGACGAACGTCGGCAAATGGTGTATATATTATGTATATAGCGACATAGGTGAATAGAGTAGGATAGAAATGCGCTGTGATGTTAACTGAACCTAGTATTCCCTCAAGTGTTATCGTCTTCCCCGCCAACTCCAGCCTCCCTCCGAATCCTCCAGGAGAACTGCAAACTCAAGCCAAGGTGGCAGATACGTCAGTGATTGTAATTACCTGAGCCCCTCCCTAAGGCTTAACAAGATGGAGGCAGTGGCGGTACACCTCCACGCCCCCTGTCACCACGGCAGAACAGTCACATTTTCAAAACATCTCTTTCCTACCTTTATGTCATGATTTTGCCCTGCACTTTGGTGATGAGACAGCAACATATTCTTGAATGAATAAGGGGTGGGCCTTCTTGGCCCTTGCACCGCGACCACAGTGATCTATTGTGCTTAGTCTTCTGTGTGTTTACTTCTAGACCAACCTCTTTACTAAAAGTAAAAAGTAAAGCTATCCCTGTAACAGGCCATGAAGGTTGTGAGATGTTGAGGGTCCCACATTGTCTGGACAAATGGCTCAAAGATGGCGGTAAGGTTGTCAGCCTTATGCGCCAGCCGCACTGGGTTGAAGACTTAATCCGAACAGACAGAAGGGTAACTATAAACACTATAGCCACTGCTATTGGTTGTTCACATGGCATGGCCTACTTCATAATGCATGACAGGTTAGGTTATCACAAAGTCTCTGCACGATGGGTGCCACGCATTCTGACCCCACAACACAAAATGCAAAGAATGGGTCTGGCATTACAGCATCTTAATCCATTTGTTTGGCCCTCTTAAACATCATATTTTGACTGAACATTTTCCCAATCATGCAGCTGTAGAAAGGGAAGTCACCGCCTGGTTCCGACAGCAGCCAAAAGAATTTTATGCTGCTGGTTTTCAGGGGCTTGTGAAACGATGGGACAAGTGCCTCAGTGTACAGGGACATTATGTTGAGAAATAAAAGCATTTTTCAAATCAGTACTCTTATTTGTTTAAGTTCTATATTCATTTGTAACTTACTTATTAACTTACCTACGTATTTTATATACATTTATTAACATCTTTAACATGTATAATGTAAATATCCTTTATATTATGATAAATGACTTACTACTGCAGAGTATGACTCTGACAAAACACAGACCCATCCTCTCGTTAGAGAGGGCACCCCACGAAAACAAGACCAAAACTGTCAAACAGTAATAAATATCTGGTCATAAGCCCCAGATTGCGCTCAACGTTAAGACTGACTGACTGACTGGTCAGTCACAATGTGACTTTGACTTTGACTGAGAGTTCATTTGGAAGTCAGAATAACTCCGGTGAAGTGTCAAGTCAGAAGAAGATGAAACGTGTCAAATACTGAGTTGTCAAGAATTGAGTCAGACAAGAGTCATA